ATATGCCCGTCTTCATTAGCACAGTCGGAGCAGATCAGAAGGACGTTAAACCCCATTTCAATTCATTTCATATCTTAGGATACCCGAAAAAAAACAAGACACAATTCCTTAGACAGTCAGATATAAAGAAATTACTGCTGGCAAAAACAAAGTCCATCCATTACATAATTGTGATTAAAAGCGTATTTTGAGCAAATCCTCTTATAAATAAGACTTCTGTTTAATACAAAAAATAACCAAACACATCAGAATATTAATCCAAAAACAGAAAAATTATCAGACCATAAAACAAGCCTTTGTTTGTTACGATACTAATCCATCAAACATTCCAAATAAAACTAATCAACTGTTAAAAAAATCATAATCCCCTTAAAATTTCCTTATTCCCCACATCAACAAGATTAACTTAATCCAAATGGAGACATTTTAGATATTAAAAAAATTATTAATAAAGAAATAATCTTTGAAGGATTTGTTCCATTTGTGTTAAACCTATAAAAGCAATTTGATGATGTGGACGAGACTGAATAGACATCATAAGTACAGGAGAGACGTCTACGTCAGACATTTGAAAAAAAATCTTGTAATTATTATAAATAATTATATATTACTATAAGCTATTAATTAGCGAAAAGAAAAGTTGTAACCATTTTAAAACGATCTTGTTATTATCATAAATAATTCTATATTACTATAAGCTATTAATTAGTGAAAAGAAAAGTCCTAACCATTTTAAAGCAATCTTGTAATAATTGTATATTACTATAAGCTATTAATTAGCGAAAAGAAAAAGTTGTAACCCATAAAGAAAATGTCCGCCTTTGAGCTTTGAACACTTAACTATTTAATGACCCTATAAAAGTAGTTAAGTGTTGTTTAAAGCACATTATTACACATTATTAGCCTTTAATATTGTTTGGCATCAGTTTTCTTTGAGGGGGTCATGGTGGCTAAGTGGGTAAGACGCTGGCTCGCTAGCCTGGAGGTCGGGTGTTTGATCCCTGCATTGGCAGAGAAAGTTCATCCAGATTTTCCGGTGTGCTTCCCCCTTATCAGTGATGCATGACTGAGGGTCTTACAAGGACAGCTGTCTAGTCGTTCAGATGGGATGAAAAAATGAGGACCCATATACACATTGGTATGCACGTAAAAGATCCCTTGACAATTGAAATTCAATATAAGAGTAGGCTGTAGTGCCACTGTCTGGGAAAATTTTCCCTCATAGCACACTGTATGGCGTATGCCCGTCTTCATTAGCCTAGTTCGGAGCAGAACAGTAGGACGTTAAACTCCATTTCATTTCATTTCAGTTTTCTTTGAATTATTCTCCTTGGCATCAGTATTGATAGAGTTAAGTATCATGCACGAGGGAGGATATGCATATACTCTTTCTAGAACAACTGCTCACACGTCTCCTTTTGGCAATTTCCCATTTGATACAAACACTACCAATCCTATTTTCTCACCCACGTTGACAAATGTTTAGATCTACTTAAAGAATACATCGTGAGAATTTATATTTATTAATACTCCACAAGCAATAACAAATAAATAGATTTCTATATTTTATCTATGGGTGACTAATTTAAGGGAACACGGATGACTAAATAGGGGTCAGGGTTTATTTATACTTTACGCTTAACTACAAAAAACATATCTTATATCCATCAATAATTAGGTGTCGCCAGCAAATTTAACACTACTCAAAAGACCATCAATGAATGAGTAGGGTTAAGATTTATTGAAATGAAAGGGGCTGAATGAGTAGGGTTATTGGTTTCTTGAAAGGGGCTCAATGAATTACTGAGATGTAATAGTACCATTTAATATAAGTACTATTCTTAACACATCAAACCCTTTTACAGGTGTTAATGGAACAGAGTCTCTCCGTGGGATTAAAAGCTAATAGGATTAGTGAAAGTTGAATAGGCTGGGGTATATCACTACTTATACCATAGTTTATTTCAAGGCTAATGGATTTAATAAGTATATTATTATTAGATATAAGTATATTATAGTTGGTGTGTTCTAATGACCGGGTTCATTCATAGTAGAAAATGTGTAAAAAAAATGTTTTGATGGAGTAGATGATACGGACGAACAGGGTCAAGATATACATTAGATCTTTTTCCATTACACTGCAAAGGAAGATTTTGATTTTATCGTTTCAAATCAAACTCTACAAGCCAGTGAAGCTTTTGTGGATACTTCTCTCATTGCAAATATGATTTGAATTAAGTTATAACTAAAACCTCCAGGAAATTATAACAGATTGTGAATTCTAAAATGGATATATCGATGTGATTTAATTCAGTGTATTTTACTGTCAACCTTTTTGTTCCATGTTTATTTATGGATGCATATATTCTAATCGCTTGTTTTATTTGATGAATATAATAAAGAGACAAGAAATATTTTGCCTGATATTCAAGGAATTTGTTTTAATTGATAAGTATATTGAGGCCAAGAGATGCATTAAGGAGATTTCATTTTTCTGGATTTAGCAGTAAAATTGACATTTATATACTGGTCTTATTGTAATAGGGAATTGTGTGTTGTTTATCGTTTCTTGTCATCGACATTAAGAGAAGAATAAAACCGGTGATCTAAGGAAATATTAAATGACTAGAAAGCTTTAGTTTTAATAAAACATAAATTGGTTGATTTAATTGAATTGGACGTATTGATTGGTTTTGTGATGTGGGTGTCCGTCTATATTTAAAGTATACAAGTAACGGATTTGATCAACAATTTCATTAAAAAATTAACTAAATTTACCAATCAAACTGACATCCACTTAATATTTCAAAATAAGAAATTTAGTCCTATTGAAATGGTTCAATCCGTAATAGAATTAACACATCAGATCGAGACAATTCAAATCTTTATTGTAACATAAAACAAAAAGATCTAGCTCCCTTATGCTAGGCTCCCACTATCATGATTCGTGCTACGATTGAAATCATGGTTTTAATCGCGGAGTAATTGTGGTGATCCTATCAGGTCTTATCATATATTTTGGTTAGTCGTAGCAGTTGTGTTGATCGTATCGAAACGTATCTGCATGTATCAGATCATGGACTCAATAGGGACAATCCTATCGTAACGCATCACATGACCGTAGCATTAAATACCCATCTGATAGATTAATCTGAAGACGAAGCTATCCTGTCTGTTGTTGAAATTGATACTTTGTCGGATGAGGAAGTTTTGGAGTTATTATTTTTACCTGCAGAAAGTTGTATTAAATTACACCCACGGTACGTTTAGAGTTTATTCAAATCCGTCTTGAGTGCATTAAGGATCGGCCAGTGTTGTAACAGAGGACGGAAGATATTCTTCAAAAACATTATGATGACAGTTTTATAGGTGTCGAAAGTCGTGGGAGTTTAATATCAGTTGTGTCATGTCATAAAAACACTGAATGAAAGAAATTATATGTGAATATTTTTTAAGATTTGTATTCACGTTGACATAACAGTAGTATTGAAAATCTGTGAAGTTTGTGAAGTGATTTTAATTTGTCTTGAAGATGCTAGACATTTTTTGAAACAATATTTTGAAACCCTGTCTGTGACTGGGATAAGATTGAAGCTGAGTAGGATAGGTTTTAAGATTAATATGTTTTGTGGATTACATGTTGATAAGATAGAAATGGGACAATTAGAAATATATGTAAAGAAAAGGTAGGAAATAGGAATAATTTATTTGTATGTACACGGTAGCTGTGTTTTATATTCCATCAGGATCACTTATTCATTAAGCCACTATGCAGTGTAACCCTGGTATCATTTAATCTTGTGTATCTAGCACTAATTTCTTTCACATTCGTCTGATATCCAATCTTTGTTTAAAAATTCGTAAAAATCGTTTAAAATCACCATAAATCGTTTAATTTGTACTTGTGTCCAGTTTAAAGCTGACTATTCAATTTTGATTAATGTGTGTCCAATTTATAAGTATTTAATTTCCTGACCACTGTTAAATGATGCCCTGGTTACAGTGGTGCCTCTTGCGATTGGGTAATATCTTGATTGATTTCCAGATATTCCCTTAAGAGTTATGAAAATGGGTTGAAGCTATGTAGTGATAAGCTGAAAAATTTTGGATAAATTCAAATTTCAATCAACCATATACAACTACTCCTACTAGTCAGGTTTTATCAGACTGATCAGATTGATAATAAGGAATGTTCGAATGGCAAATTACCGAACTACCCATGGTTGACGAGGTGGTCCATCTGCCTTGATGATCGTAACCCACAGCCTTGAATCACAATGATTGTGTTTTTGTGAAACAAATTACCGCATGTTTGGCCCCTAACAAGACGTTAGCATTGACGAGATGTGAAACATAATTTCTTTTGTCTCCCATTTAGTTCAGGAGGGCGGTTTCAGACAAAAATCTTTAAGATCAATAGACTGTCGGAATATGTCATGTGACTATGTTGAAATTACCCAACAACAACAAAATTAATGATAACCTTGAGAAATCTCAAACAAGGTCATTCTGAAACAAAAAATAGTATTGATGTTGGATGACAAATATGGAGGAAATGAGAACGATACAAATGTGAAGAGGCCTGAAGAGTAGGAGTCTTTAATTAACTTCTATGCAAGTCAAGATCTTCTGGCAGCACCCGGTTGTGTATATTTTACAATGATTGCATGGTTATAAACGTTGACTTTGACAACGAGTGTGGTTTGCAAAAAGACATGTATGACAATACTAAAACTTAAAAAGTTCATCCTGTTTTGAGATGTAATCATGAAATTCTTTCAGATTTAGAATTCTGAAAAACAGAAACCTACCTAATTATGTGCAAGATGACATAAGCATTTACACTCCCACCCTCAAACATCCTCGTGTAGAACCTTCAACTCCCCCTACACCTTCTCATCAAACAACTTTGCTCCCCTTTCCCTCACCCATCCCACTTAACATCCTTGTATTATTTTTAATATTTTGACATATAAATGATTTTTTCTTTTGTTTTTCAGATGTGACAGTCCATTGACATTAAAAAGCTACAGGTAAGACTACTTTATAGCTTATTTTAAAAAAATGATGAACAAAAAAAATGTCATTCTTACAGTAATACATTGTTAAACATTGTGATTCTTACATTCAAACTTTATCAAACATTATCATTCTTACAGTCAAACATTGTCATTCTTAAATATTGTCATCCTTAAAGCCAAACATTGCCATTCTTGCAGTCAGACATTTACACCTCATGTAAACTGATAAAACAAAAAAATACAAAAAATGTTCTATAAAATCCTACTAACTCCATTTCAATTAAATTTTCACAAAACAAAATCAATTGAAAGCACTTATTTTCAGCTAAACCAAATACTGTCTTTATTATTTGAGTGAATCTAATACAGTTTCCACTGTCTACCTTTTTATTAAATCTATATGTTTTGTTGCCTGGCAACCTATCTTTATTGAATCTATAGATCAGTTATTAGCTTCATCAATGGAACAATAAAAACAGTTAAAGGAGCTAAATCGCTTACATTTGGGACCTAGAAATTAACACAAGTGGGTCGCAACTCATATAATACTGTAATATGAATGTATATAAACTAATTTACATTCAATCGTTTCCATTTTTACTCTAATTTCAAATCAGTTATGTTCCGTGAAATAAGCCAGCAGTCTCAATCGAATGCAAATTCCTAGCGTCTGGTTATTCCAGTCTACATACGCTGTTTGGTTTGGTGCAATATGTCTAGCCTCGTTCCTCGAGTCTCTTGCTAGAACTGGGGCTGAAAAGCATTATGGTACACAATGCTAAAATATTTATTTTGTCTTAAATATTGGATATCAGAAGCCCATCTTTTTCCGGTAAGATCACAGCATCAATGTTGTTTTAAATTGACAAATAATTTGTGTTTTCAATGTTGAAGATTTTGGATGATATTGAGTTAGAGACTTAGCTACTTTAAATCCAGAGTGTTAGTGATAAATTATTACTTTTGCCATGCAATCACTTCAGAATATTTGTCCATAAGCAGACAGACGACATGATATTTATAAACTCACGAAACTATTGGTTGACCCGCGTCGTTTAATGTCAGACTTTTAATTATCTTGACGCCTGCCGGATTTTAGCGGAGGTTTTGTAAAAGATTGAAGTTTAATCGAATAATTGATGTAATTGTAGACATCTGATTGGTTAATAGATTGGGAGCACCTGTCATGTTCGTATTAGAATAGATACATGTTTGAAATGACCAGGGTGTCTATTGATTATAACTGTAAGTGATTTGTGTATACCACAAACTTCAAACGCTGAACTAGACTGATCAGACAGAATAATCTTAGCGTAAATTTATCTGTCTGTTACTTGCAGGAGATTAATGCCTTGACAATAATATTTCTGGACTTTTTGAACATTGTTGCGTTGGTGGAACACCTTGTCCAAAAATAAAAGGTATAAATTCTGGACTCATTGGTTACCAGAAATTCAATATCATCAACATAGTTTGGAACTGTGTTAACTAAATTTGTCAAAAAAGAAATAATAATATTCTACTGTCTTGAATGGTGGCAATCAGTTGAAATTTGAGAAAAGTCTTAGTTCATCTTCAATTGATCGAAGATGTCTCTATAAAGCAGAAGTAGCCCACCAGTTGAGCCTGAAAAAACAAAAAGAGAATTTTCTGTAATCTTTGAAGTGAGCTGGTAGAAAATTGTGGAAGTTGACATCAAAGAACATTAGAAATTGAATTCTAAAGTAATGGAATGCTATTTATTGGGTAATGGCAGTTTAAAATACGAAACATTATATGAATGTAGGACGGAATGCAATCACTTGTGCAAATATTTAAAGTTTCAAAATATGCTAAAAGTCATCTTAAAGTTTGTATTGTCTGTGAAATCAGCCGTCTGCAATTCTCCATCCAGTTCATGGTGTTTCTTGAGAAAGATCTATGGTCTATTTATATCAACGAAGAAAGTAGAAAAAGTCAATTTGAAAATCTTTCAAACGGAAATTATTGGAAGACGTTTAGATGCAGTTGTTTAAATATCTGATTATCTTCTTAACGTGAGATTTCCAAGACAAAAAAAAAATTGGATTGTGTTCGTGAGATGGTCGCATGCTGACAAATACTGCAATCGACTATCATTATATCTGACTTGAGTATGAACCAGAAATTTTTAGCGCAACTTAACTTTTTGTACAACAATACAATACGACAAAAATTTACGTCAGTATGAAATAAAAATTGATATAAATTTATAGACACTTCGATTTATTGTAATAGTTCCACTTCAATAAATTCTTCAATATTTTCTCAGCTTTTTAATCTTAAAAGGAAGTCTGAGGATTTATATTTTTTAAACTGCATAACACTTTTATCAATAATTCATACATTGATTTGTAAAATTGGTTAATTGTCTTTCAACAAAAACCCATTTTGTTGAAAAGAAAATCATGACTTAGTCTGAAATCGTACATGACAATTGGTCCGTCTAGAAGGAAAGGAATAGAGGTAGACAATTCTTTTTCGTAAAATAATATATCCTCCACATCTCTGCCCGGAAACGTTATTTGTTAAACTGTTCCATGGGTCTCAAAATAAAAATTTAAGTTGTACATGTACCTGACATTTATGAGTTTGTGCTTGACATCGGCAATACTATATACCGGAAAACACCGGAAAACAACGGAAAACACCATGTTATACAGAATACCGGAAAACTACGGAAAACACCATGTTATACAGAATACCGGAAAACACCGGAAAACCACTAAATACCGGAAAACACTCTAAATACCGGAAAACACACTAAATAGGTAACAAAGAGCCTGGCCTTCTGTTTGCAGAGAGTTGGGGTTATTGTTAGGGCTAGGGTTAGGTTTTTCCGGTGTTTTCCAGAGGACCAGCGGTGGGTTAGGGTTAGGTTTTTCCGGTGTTTTCCAGAGGACCAGACTCCGAGTTACCTATTTAGGATGTTTTCCGGTATTTAGTGTGTTTTCCGGTATTTCCGGTATTTAGTGTTTTTCCGGTGTTTTCCGGTATTCAGTATAACATGGTGTTTTCCGGTTGTTTTTCGGTGTTTTTCAGTGTTTTCCGGTGTTTTCCGGTATATAGTATAGCCCCTTGACATGTATTAGTTTAAACAATCCCGTCTTCATTAGCCCAGGTTAGGAGCAGAACAGTAGGACGTTAACTCCATTTCATTTCATTTCAGTTTAAACAATATTTTATTCATTTGAAAAGGTTCTAACAACAGGCAAAGCCTATATAATTTCTTTCCCAGGACATGCATTGAAAATATAAATAAAAACACAAAAAATAAATAAATCTCTGCCTGATAAACTGACAAACAACACAGAAATTATTCCTGACGTTATCTGTGACCGGTGCCTTTATTCCAGACTTACTGTCCAATCATACTAGATACATATCCTAGCTTCTACCGAGATGTAATTTTGAATAATAAATCATGGTTATAGCGTGGAGACCTGCACCCACGAGAGAGCTATATAATACAATGACAATTACTCGATTGTCAACTCGTGGGATGATAAACACATGAATATTCATGTCCTGGTTAATGTTGCTAATTCTTTCAGACGACAATTTACATATTATTCATGAAAGACGTGTAACATCCAGTCATGATTATTAACGGTATAGAACCTGACATCCAGTCATAGGGATTAATGGTGTAGAACCCGACATCGAGTCATGATTATTAATGGTATAGAACCCGACATCCAGTCATGATTATTAACGGTATAGAACCTGACATCCAGTCATGATTATTAACGGTATAGAACCCGACATCCAGTCATAGGGATTAATGGTGTAGAACCCGACATCTAGTCATGATTATTAATAGTATAGAACCCGACATCCAGTCATAGGGATTAATGGTATAGAACCCAACATCCAGTCCGGATTATTAACGGTACTGACACCCACATCCAGTCATGATTATTAACGGTATAGAACCCGACATCCAGTCAGGATTATTAATGGTATAGAACCCCACATCTAGTCATGATTATTAACAGTATAGAACCCGACATCCAGTCATGATTATTAATGGTATAGAACCCGACATCCAGTCAGGATTATTAATGGTATAGAACCCCACATCTAGTCTTTTTATATCCACACAGTCTTGTTAAGTTTGTTACCGGGGATTTTTCTACTATGATTTATCTACAAGGAATTGTTCCTGTTTCTCCTCGGATGCATCACTGAGATCCAGACTTGCTTGCACTTTTATGGGGACTCTTCCGCCCCTCTTTTCCTATCGTGTGTGAGGTTTTTTCGTCATCTTCTTGGGATTATCTAGTCATAATTATTATTGGTATAGAACCCGAAATCAAGTCATGATTATTAATGGTATAGAACTCAGTATCTAGTCATGATTGTTTACAGTATAGACACCCACATCCAGTCAGGATTATTGATGGTATAGTATAGAACCCGACATCCAGTCAGGATAATTAACGGTATAGAACCCGACATCCAGTCAGGATAATTAACGGTATAGAACCTGACATCCTGTCAGGATAATTAACGGTATAGAACCCCACATCCAGTCGGGATTATTAACGGTATAGAACCCGACATCCAGTCGGGATTATTAACGGTATAGAACTCGATATCCATTCATGACGGTATAGACACCCACATCCAGTCATGATTATTTTAACAGTATAGAACCTGACATCCAGTCAGGATAATTAATGGTATATTAATCCAGTCTGAATATTATATATTAACGATATTTGTTTTCGGTGATAACATTGAGTTTTAGTAAACAAAATAAACGAAATGAAATGGGGGTTTAATGTCCTACTGTATTGCTGCTACTTGACTAATGAAGACGGATAAACAATATTGTTTGGAGTTGTTTGGAAATGGTTGCAATGTTTGTTACCTACTGCTAAATTATATAAACACATTGTGTTAGTCCCAATATAACCAATCTTTCCATTTAGTTTAAAAATGATCACATTAACATGTTGCTCTATGTTGCCTTCAGTGGGCTGCGAAAG